CTTCAAAAATTCTACCCACACACTGTAGTAAGACTTCTTAATTTTCATTACTTTTCTAATATTTAAATATAATATTTCTATTTTTGCTATTTCTTTGGTAGGGGTTGAAATATTCCAACTTTAAAAGCACTTTTTAATTAATTATATTGTAAACCTCTTTATAATTTCATGTTGTCAAAGGTATAGAAAACCATATACATTAGTTATAAAAGTAATATTTATGATTTTGACAACATGTAATGTCCCATTAAAAAGATAACTAAAACACCAGTTTTCCTTTCCAACTTACACTATGTACACATACTGAAAACTATTATGGGGCAAATGTAATGATGATGAAATAACTAATTTTATATTATGCCTTAAATAAAACTCCATGTAGCTCTTTGAAAATATTCGATGATAAAATGTGATTTTTTTATTACCTATATCAGGTGAGCAGTTCACTTCTGATCTGTAGTAAAAAAAAATGTGTTTGTTTTGAATATACCTACATAAAAGAGTGTCTTTTGGTTTATTACTATTTCCATTCCGTCCCTCATCTTCTAGGAAAATCCAGGTAAGGTATTTTTTTTTACAAACAATCAATTAAAAAAAAAACAAATAAACCCAGAAATGGGTACTTTTACGTATTATTAAGTGTGTTATAATAATCTGACTATCACACCTCAGTTTTCGAACATACTTCAAAGAGGATATTTATTGTGCGCCAAGAGAAATACACTACATTTGTATTTCAAGTTAATTAGTTTGAAGATTTTAATGCTTATTCCTACAGAACTTAGACATGAAAGTTCCTCAACACGCCAGCTGGTTGTCAACAACTGAAAAACATCAAAAATTTGATTATTAATGAGGATAAGTTATTTAAAGGTTTTAAAAACGAGTAGAGGAACTAAAATCATGTAATATAATACACATTAATTGCAGAGAATAATTTATTTTGGCAATTAAATATATCATTATGGAATTCAATTTTCAATAAATTACACATCTATTCCATTGAAGATCTTGGTAATTGAAAAGCTGTAAATTGAGAAATGTGAAATGTGATTTTCTCAACTTTGATCGAACTTCACTATTTATTGCATAATGTTTCACAACTTTACAAAATATTTGTGTAATTGAAGTCCTTGCAATCTAAATTTCATTAACAAAATGAGGTAAGGAATTTATTTCTTTTGTTTCTTTCATTATGCAGTTTTCTTGACCTTTCCAAAATTGCCAAATGATCATCCTCATTCCCATAAAGGGTTAATTAATTTAAAGGATTAACTCATTTAAACTAAGTGCAATACTTTCACACTTGTCCTGTTATACCGAACATATTAAACAAAGTGTACCTAATACTTTATTTGTAAGTATTCATTCATGGAAATCCCTTAATTGTTTCGAAAGTTGTCAATGATTGTACTTTGTGGTACCTACAGGAAAGAAATTTACGTTATAAAACTGTCATTTTTCTTGAGCGAATTTGGGGGTGCGAGATCTTTTTTCTCGGTCGATAGAGTGGGGCAATGCTGAATTCAAAACTGTTAACAAATGATGTTAGGTAAAATTGCTGAACCGATTCGAATGCGCACCGTGGTCTCGCTCACTTTTTTTAAGGAAAGCTATCTCTAAAAACGAACGACGCGAGTCCACAAGACTTCAGACAACCCAATTGGCGCGCAAGGAAAAACAAGACTATACAAGCTGACCACATGGCATGGAGCGAAGCGAAGGAGAGTAGAAAAAACGTACGAGCCGTCCTTGGGTGCAAACCCGACGGCGCAAACGCATTAGCGCAGTCGAGTGACACTCGCCACCTCGCCACCGAAGGTCAGAGCACTGAGCACTCCGAAGGCCGTCCGCGAGTGGTGTGCGACCGCGCGGCCGGTCCGTTTCCCCTCGGCGGACAGCGCGCGCCGGCCGGCGGGGGCGGGTCATCAGGCGACGCTGTCCGACTGCCCTGACCATGACACGTCGCTGGCCGAGCGCAGCGAGTCGCGGTCGGCGCCGTGCGTCGCCGCGCCGCCGCCCAGGCTGATGGTGATGTGTTTGAGGCGGCCGCTATCGTCGTCACCGCTCTGGTCGCTCGCGCTCTCCTCCAGGATGTGCGGCGCCGAGCACGCCGCCGCGCCGCAGGGCGAGGGCGCGCATGACGACGCAGACGCCGACGCCGACGTCGCCGGAGGCGCGACGCGGGGATCGGCGGCGCGCCGCCGCGCACGACCTCCGCCGCCGCCGTTGCGACGGCAGTCGGCCTGCGGGCAATGCAGCCGCGAGGGTCACATACCGGCATGGGGTGCGGGCGTCGTCAAAGTGTGGTGATGCTGAAAAATTGTGCTCCTTTCATCTCTTTCCTGTCCCATTTCTATCCTTTGTTATCGACAAAACACACACACACACACACACACACACACACACACACACACACACACACACACACGCGCGCGCGCGCACGCAAGAACAGTGGACACACAACATACCCGAAAGGCAGTAAAATTCTCGGCGTTTCATCAGGCTCCTATACAATCAGAATTTTTTTTCTACAATTCTTCGTGAATATTCTAGAAGGAACTGGCTAAAAGAACTTCTTATTACCTCTGAAGGTGCATAGCACTCCCCCCCACTAACACTTTGATTTATTCTTTTGATTTTTTCAAAAATGCATGTACAGTGCACACAATATACCGGAAAGGCAGTAAAATTCCCAACGTTTCACCAGGCACATTTTTTTACACTCCACAAAGCACATTTTTTCTACAATTCTTCGAGAATATTCTAGAAGGAATTGGCTAAAAAAACTTCTTATCACCTCTGAAGGTGCACAGCACTCCCTCCTCCCACACAAACACTTTTGCCATATTCTCTTAAAATGTTTTGGATATACAATAGCTTGATTAGTGATAATGGGCGCGTCAACTGCTAAGGTCTTTAGGCCCATAAATGTAGCGCAAATGTTTTTATCGCAGAAGTGATCTTACCCCGCTGAATCCGGTGCCTACAAGTCAGCTTGCGAGTCGTTTTTTTTTTTTTTTTTCATCCAGGCATTACCATCAGGGAACCAGCGGGGCACCACCCCAGCCGAGACACGCTCTAAGCTCCTGATGTGTGTGTGTGTGTGTGTGTAATGTCCCGCAAGTGTCTTAGAATTGTGCATGTAAGTGTAAGTGCGAGTGTGAGTGAGTCATGGGTGAGGATAGAACAAGGAAGAGGAAGGAAAGATAGAGCGCGGTCCGTGGATCGTTTGTTAGGGTACTGCTCCGGTCTTCGCCTGGTGTTGATCGGAGAAAACGTAAAACTACCGATCAGAGCAGCCGGTTGCTAGAATTCTCCTCCATACAGCGGCTGCATTCGACCTAGCTGACAAGCTAGTGTCGAAAATCCCACCACGGTCGGGACTCAAACCCTAGGACTTCCCGGTCAAAGGTACTGTTTTCGCATCAATCGATGCCTTGAGCCACCTAAGCCTGTCTGGATGTACAACAAATGGTCAATTCCGCACCAACAGGCAGAGGCACGTTGAATCACCTCACTTGCCGAGAATGGTGGTTCGGAAGAAGTCGATTCGTGAGTAACGGACGGATGGACTTGCGGGTTTCCCGGTTACTTTATGTAGGTATAGCCACATACCTGACCTGCATATATGCAACAATCGACTTTTAGAACTGGAGTCACCTCCAGGTGAACATGAGATTATTCATCATTCAGTTGAATTTTCACCCGGAAAACTCATAAAAAACACATCCGTTTCTCGCTGTCATAATGACAGATTTAAGGTATAATATTTTATTTTTAAATTTTTTTGTTATTTACGAAAAGTAAAAGGGTCTAGTAAGAAAGACTTAAAGCATTAAAATTGATTTTTATTAATATTTACATTATAATAATAGTTTTAATAATTAAGTGATCGTATAATTTATTAAATCGGTCAAGTATAGATACACTGAGTTACTTGGGAATGTTTAAAGCCTATAGTAATTATTAGTACAGTAAAACCTGACTTCAGCGTCACCAATGGTTCCAACAAAAAATGGCCGTCGTTTGAAGTGGCCGCGTAATCAAGGTTAAGAGGTAACTGGAAGCACTGTAGTAATTGATATAGAATGGATGTTCTTTTTAACATTTTTAATTACCACAATGACAAAATATAATTTAAAAAAGGTTTCTAGGATTATTTGACTGACAGTCAACGCGGTGCTGCCAAGAAGAACACTTCGTCCCCGCCAGCAACGCCACTGATGATGTCTGTCACAGTTGCAGGCGAAACGTATTGACCAGACTCCGTTGGACCACGGCCTACAAACCCAGTAACGTCTAATTATGAAAATGTATGTTTCTGCCATTGAAAACTGGTCACAAACGCATTAAATTAGGCTCTTTTTTCAGAAAAGTCAAGTATTTTTGCATTTATGGGAGTGGCTACAAGCATATCGTTTTATTTTATTTCATTCATACATTCTTTCACACCTTTCGTTCTCATCCTGTCAACAGCTCACCTGCACCAGGAATGGGTCCAATTGCCTCAGAAGTGAGCGCTGATTGGAGACGAGCGTGAAACATCTTTGACTTATGTTCGGTATGTTGAGCGAGAGATTTTGGTGCGTAGACGATTGCGTATTCGATCAGGGAATATTCACGTTTCGGGAAATACTGGAAAGTATTTGCGTTTCGGCATAACGAATTAAAAAAAAAAGAATAATTAACATAGGATAATTCAACATTACTTATTTTAGGTAGTTTTAGGCAAGAAAATAATTTTAAAAAGGCAACAATTGTCATTTTTGGACATTTTAGACATTATCAGATGCTTTCAGATCTATTTTTTCAAGATTCGTATACATGTGCAATTATTTTCCACAATATCGTATAGGAACTAAATAGGCATTTGTCCAAAAGTCTAGTCATAACTTTACGTATTCTACAAAAGCACATTGAACTTCAAAGATTGAAATCATACCGAAAATCTTTTCCACCGTTTTTTAAAATCCATTGAAGGACGTTTCCCTTCCTTTTTATACAAGACAATTATTCCTTCGAATGCTACGAGTCTGCAACTCGCCGTCGGGCAACTGCTCACCTGCTCCGTTGGGCACGTGATCCGTGGCGGCGTCCTCCATGAGGGCCCGTGGGTCGAGCTCTCTCCACTGCGTGGCCTGCAGCGGCGCCCGGCCACCCGCCCCCGCACTCGCCCCGGCGACCGCCGCCGCCAGCGTGCCGCCTCTGCCCGCCGGCCGCGCCTCCTGCAGCAGCAGCTGCAGCAGCTCCATGCCCGTCTGCACCGACAGCGTCCGCAGCTCCGGGCGCCGCTCCGGCAGCACCCCTGCAACACGCGCAGCCACCCGCCTGTCACTTCGACCGCGCCCTCTCGCAGCGCAGCCTCCGACAAAGTTGGCTGCAAGAATGGCATTGAATAGGAAAATCCTCGGCAATCTCTCTTGCAAGCTGGCTGCAAGAATGACATTGATTAGGTAGCCCTGACAATTCGTGCTGTAAGCAAACTATAAGAATGACATTATATGCGAAAACATCAATCAATTCCTAATGCAGACTGTCTGTAAGATCGACATCATCTGCAAAAACTTCCGTCAATTTGTGTTACTGTCTGTAAAAATGTCATTATATGGAAAAACCTTCGACATTAAGTAATGTTGTCTGTAAGAAAGGAATTATACGGATTAATAACTGGTAATTCGCATTCAAGGTTGGTGACTGTATTAAGAAAATTTATGATGAGAGATTGTAGAAAGTGCTAGAAAATGGTATGTACACTATCAAAATGAAGGTCATATTTGAAGATGTTTGAATAAATATGGTCTCAAAAAGATGTTTGACCGAGAAAAAATAAAAGCTAATTATTTTATTTGCTACAGAGACCAGTTGCTTATTTATAATATTACACATCACCTTTTCGTAATTCTGAACAATTATAAAGAGGAAGGTCGTAGTAGTATATACTACTCAGAGGGTCGAAGCTGTTCGTAAAATTCACATACACGAGAACAAACAGAACAATAAAAATTTAAGACACAAAAATCAAATAAAACATGGAACAAAAATGCGCATGTATTAATAATATTTTCCAAAGACCGCGACAAAAAATACGAAATAAACTCATAATGAAGGAGGATAAATGCAAGAAATCGGAAGATTGGTGAGACTCGGAGAAAAGTGAAGTAAACACGCCATGAAAATAGTCCTCTACAATGGCCCGAATCGCCAAAGGAGTAAGAACTATGAAATAAGAAAAGCCTGAAAAGGACTGGGAAAAGAAGGAGTGATCCAGCTGGTTAAAAAATCAGACTGCCTTTGTCGAAAGATGACTATTCTCAATGCTGAAACGATAATTCCTCTGTTTTAACTAAGCTTTAATTCTCAGAAGTAATTCAAAATACTGCAGTGACAAACTGTGAATTAATCACTTTAATTCATCGAACATCAAATAAGAGTGAGTGCGAGTAAAAAAATGAAATAACAAAGTGCGAAAACACAGTTGGCCCTCTGTTTCGACTTCTTTTCGGACCCTAGCGTGCCCATCATCAACACATATTCTAATTAAAACAAACTTACCGAATATGGAACCAAAAATAACGATTTGTTTAAACTGAATACAAATGAAGTAAATTATCTTAATACATTTTGCTTTAATACCATATTGGTTCATTTTAGAATAGATTAAAGATACCCTATCATGATATCCTATCATGATACCCTATCATGGCACATCTGTAGATCGGCACAGCCGTGATCCGCCCATATTGAATTTTAGGTACTAATTATTAAATAATTCACACGAAATGAAAATACAAATACTAGTGTGTGAGTAACATATTCATAAAGCATAATGTTGATTCATAAAAAAGAATAAAATTATTCTCCCCTTTCGTTATTTTTTTTATTATTTTGTAATCTGGATGTATATTTTAAGTACTTTCCGTTTTTTCTGAAGCATGTAGCATTGAAAACGACTACGAAACGTCTGTGTATCTTTTTGCCAGATTTGCCGCCGTCTGCAGAGACTCTGGCCAGGAGGTCCCAAGTTCTGACTGTGGTAGATTTTAGACACTAGCTAGATAACCAGGTCAAATTCAGCCCCTGACTGGAGGCTGGAGGCTGGCTGCTCTGATCGGTAGTTTTCCGTGGTTTCCGTGTTCAACACCAGGCGAATGCCGGAAAAGTATGCACGAACCACGATCAATCTTTCCTTCCTCTTCTTCAACCAATCTTCTCCCTCCCCCCACTCTCTCTTATTTGCACTTCCCTACCACAAATGTCGGAAGAGCAACCTGGAAGGCACTTCCTGGTTGGTACGGTGCCCCACTGGGGGAGATACCTGGGGAGATACCCGCAAGTCTTCTGTTGGTCGGCGGCGGATCTCATCATCCAGCAAGGAAGGAATCACCGCCACCTTCCGGAATAGAACACCCATTACACAAACGGGACTGATGACTATAGGAATTAGCGTGTCTAATAGTGGCGATCTTCCCTCCCTTTATAACTATAAATAAAATATATAACAGGAAAAACAACACGCAGTAATTTTATTTGTTTACACATTAAAAGTTATAATAAATAACTTAAGATCAATGTTTGTTTCATAACTAAATTAGAAACAAACATTCAGGGATAATCCTTTGACGGAGTTGACACATCTGTCCAATGCAATTACAGGAATATAGACTACATATTTCATATTGCTTTTTATTTTATTTTATTTTTTATTTTATTTTATTTTTTATTTTATTTTATATTTTATTTTATTTTATTTTATATTTTATTTTATATTTTATTTTATATTTATTTATTTATTTTTATTTTTTGCTTGGGATTATTTCTGTAAATATTGAAAAGTAAAAAAAATTATCAGCATTAGGTAACTTTAACCTAACACGTATTGTGAGGCAGCGCAACGCTGCCTCAAACTCTTACTTTCTCCTTTAGAAATGAAGAGTAATCATAAATTTTCATCGATCTTTTCTGAAAAATAAATACGAGTAAGTGCGAGTAAGAGAATATTATTTTTAGTTAATTTTCACCTTTGAAGATTTGCCTACCTAAACCCAGGCTTCTGGGTACGATTTCCGACCTGATAATGTGTTTCAGGCGGAAATATCATTTTCAACTATGTGTTATCAAAGGCAACCATGGAAGATAAGAAGAAAGTCTCGTGATTCTCTGACGCAAATTAACATTTGAATCAACTAGCAGGAAAACGACCCTTGAAGGAGTAAAGGAAGATTATAACGTTTCTTCCTCAATTTCCGCTTATGGGTTTTCAGATAACAGAACAGATTTTCAAACGTACATCCGAATTTCCTTTTGGCTTCCATACAGGAAATTTTTTACACACGGAACAATCATAATATTACCCACGAAGCAATCATGCCAAAATGTCATCATGCAACATTGGTATTTACAGTTACTAATTAAACTTTTTTTATAAGAGCACATTAATGAAACAATTATACTAGTACTCCCTGGGTACTTGTACCGTTTGTTAAGGTTCTGCTCAGGATTACTATAGTATGTTGGGATTAGGCAACGCTACGCATAGAGGTAGACAACCCAGGGAATTCTCGAATCACTTTGGAAGATTACAAATGGTGTACTGCATTTTTGCACTTTCTTATTCTTTCAAAGTCCATCTCTATGTTCTCCAGAGAATTCTCAGTTCAATTATCCTTTTTAATTAACAGTTTGTCGTAATATTTTGAGTTTACAATTCGTGTTCTGTGCGATTCCAGTTTTGTACATGCAATCTATTGGTTGTTTTTCAACATTTATACAAGAGATTCGAGTTTTTGAAGTTTTCTACGTTTTCTAAAATTCCTCCTGCTCATTAGAGCGAAAGAAAATTGCGAAATCGCGAAAGAATATGATCAAAAGTCTCAGAAAAAGAGTCACGAGGAGACTCAACTTACTGAGATATAGCTTTTACTATCATTATGAATTATGACATCAATGTTCTTAGTGATGTTAAAATACTAAACCAGCAAGTCACAGCAAGAACAGTTTGAGTTTTGAATTACGAAGGAGTTAAAGATCGATCCGCACACACCGAGGAAAGACGTGTCAGCTGTTCTCGCAATCTTCCTTTGGGTTACCCCGACCACAGCGAGCAGACGGAGCTCCGTCCCCTTTAGGGAACAATAGATTTCCTTCCGCCGCGCTCTTGTGACTGTCTGTTTGTCTATGCTAGATGTAGGCAAAGGGTAAGCTTTTGCAGTGTCGTAAAAGCAAGTATATTGAAACATACAAGCATTACGCATTGTTAGAGGCGCACCCAGTATTTTTCAGGGGAAGGGGGGAAGATTCAAGAATAGAGTCCAGCCATCTTGATGTTTTTTATAAAGAAGGCTTCCTTTATGCTAAATAGAAAGTGTATTTTAATTTGTTGACTTGTAGTTAATATTTATAACGTTAACATATTGTATTGAATGACTTAATTAATAGTTATATTTTTGAATACGTATCGTTGGGTTTTGGGAGAGGGTGAAGCTTCAGGAGCTCTCGCACATTGTTTGCGTCACTACGAAATGTCGATATTTTTGCTTAATCGACTACAGTTGACTCTTTTGGATATGTACAGACGAATTTTTCAACGTCAGCTTCATAGACAAATATTCACGCCATGGGAAGGTCATCCGAGTTATGATCCAACAATTGCATCGCGGCCATCCAATCAATGCTGACTCTTTCATCAAACTTGCTGTTGGTTTATTTTAGCATATAGTAAACATAGCACAGTGCGGCAGCGAAAAGCCGTCCCGTACGTTTTTGTTCTTCTAGTGCCCTTTATTTCCATGACAATATTGGCAAACTAGTACAAATAATAAATATTTTGCTTTTCTGGGCACCTACGAATTGCTTAGACAGATGTCAGATTTGATGGAATGAATGGTGGTTTACCATTGCCTACCACTAGCGTAAGGTGGAAACAGCCGTAACTGACGCAGTATCTGGATCCACAATCCTAGAGCACAATGCTTACCGTCCGGCCGTTTGAACCATTTAGATCGGATTTTACCTACAATCTGTGACAATGTTGAAATGTTGAAAATTAAAGCAACGGTCTTTTTTTTTTTTTTTTTGACTTAGACACAGGCTAGATTTCACAGCCACGACGTTTCGCCAGGCCTGATTTTCTCATGTGTGTAGGACTGTGTCAAGGACACCGTATTCCATAGCAATGTTGCGACAGTTTTGAAATCCAAATGGCGCGAGCTCTTCATCGCCATGCACCCAGCCAAGTCGCACGCGACGCGATGTCATGTGCCTCCTCAGCTGGCACGTCGCTGCTCCGGAACTGTTTTCCGGATCCTGAACGCCTCCCGGACGCTCCCTCGGCGATCGCTGACTGTGAGTCATTGGCTGATGGGAGTGGACTATGCAAAGGGCGACAATGATAAGGGGCTGTAAACACTGGCCCTGCGCACGCTGATTCACAGTTGTTTTCTGCGATTCATCTCGCGGAATGTTAAAGCACGAATATAGTACGAGTTTCTAGTCGGTTAACAGGGCATGTATTGTAAATTTGAAACGGCTTACAAAATACCGCTTGGGATATTCTTCACTATATTTTCCTGCTTGATTTCCTTTCTTCTGTTTTATCCTTTCTTGCAGAGGTTCGCAATCAAAATCCCTTATAAGAGGTACAATAATCCTAGTATATTCTTCTTGGAAGCATGGTACGTACTATTGTGACATCTTTATTTGGAGCACCTGCGGTTAATAGGAGTCATTAAGAGTTGAAATGGTTGTGGAAATATAGGTTGATCTAAAACTGAATTTTATGACGTAATTACTCCTCTCAGCGAAATATTTTTATCCGCGAATTGTTTACCAGTTATGGTTTTGAATGTCTCTTCTCTATACCTACAACGTCGACGTACCAGCAGACCATGGACACACAACTTGTTTTGGCCGATAACATTGAAATTTACCAATCATATTTTGATTTGAAATTTGTTATCATAGTATTCCAAGAAAATTCATTTGAGAGAAAATTTTTTTTCATTGGACTAAAAATCAAAATTAAATTAACAGTCGGTCAACAGTAACGTTACAGTTGCAGTAAGACGTTCAGCCTTTTCATCTCCATAATTCTAAACGTCTCCCAAATCCCTTGGACGCCTCAGCATGTTTTAGTGAAATACCTGAGACTACATCTTAACTGTCATCAAACATGAACATCTGAAGTTACTGTCAAACTCAGAGAAGCAAATGAAAGGTTATCTAAACTTCAAATACAAATTTCAATTCAAATACAAATTTTTTGGTATTTGTTTCCTTAGTCGGTCGTTTGTGCACGCCAAAACTCATTAAAAATAACAGTAACGACCTTTGAAATCACTAACACGAAGGGCGTCTACAGCTCACTTCTCTGCATCTACCTCTCAAATGCCCTTAAATTCCAGAACCTCATTACATCAGCGTTATAAATAAAGGACATCCATGAGAACTCCGCAGGAAAGTCCAATGCCGAGTCGTCATCTCCAGAGAAAGTGTCACGCGGCGCGACCACCTCGCATTGCGCTGGCGGATGTTACGTGTGGGTGACGCCGCGACGGCGAAGTGGGCGCTTAACCTATCTGCGACTGCGGTGGTGCAGCTGCGACCGCCGTGGGACGTTTCGTGATGCTGTCAGAATGAGATCGTGGTCCGGGAAATCTCCTTCTGGTGATGATTTAATTGCTCAGATGAATAACATGGCTGACTGTCAAGGTTTAGTATATTTCGATCAACATGTGTTCAAAAGTTTTCGTACACTGTTGGAAATGTCATTACATTTAATGTAGATTAACGTATTTTACACGAAACCTAATGTAATCTTGTACATAAAAACATACACACACATATATATAAAAGTTAAAATCAGTGAAGATTTAATGTAGAGGTTCTCTCGTTTCCCCTGCCTCTCATCATTCAAATTGCATTCTCATAATCACCAGTCCATCCATCCATCCATCCATCCATCCATCCATCCATCCATCCATCCATCCATCCATCCATCCATCCATTCATCCCTCCCTCCCTCCCTTGCATCCTAATATACATATGTACATTAAATTTAATGTGCGTTCATGATAATTACTGTAATGTATATTTCATTAAAGTAATGTGTAAATTTGTAACAGTTTACATCTTTAAAAACAATTCTGCAGTTTACTTTGAATCAAGAGTTATTTATGGTTTGAATGTTACACGAGTGGTCAATGTCTTGAAATTTGGCGGATAGTCTGATCTAAAGGGTTTCAACTGCGGAAGCAAATATAAGAGCGAACGTGAATAATGTCGAGAAAATAATATTGAATGCCAAGATAATCTGAGTGAAGTGGAGCTGATTTACGGAGGAGAACCATTAAACTCCACATATTTATTGGAATTGTTTCTTCACTAATCAAATCCAGAGGTAGCAACAAATGAACTTTGAATGACATGATCATTTATATAGTGATAAAGAAAGGTTATCTGATCGGAGAACATTTCTAGATTTTCTTTCTTTATAAGGTGATTATTGTTTATAAGGCTATGGTGCTCTCCTCTTTCACACACAATACATATTGTAATGTAGAACTTATTGAAATTCGCTCTCTCAGTCGGAGACATAGGGATGCCTGTTTTGGAAGGAATACAATTCAGGAATGTTGTTCATTGACGGACGTCTACACAAGTGGATAAAGAGAGAGACATACCAACAAACGAGTGAATGCGTTTTTTACATGAATTTTCACTATTAGGGACCCCGGTAGACGTATTATCCGTCAAAATATCGGGATGGATATTTGAACTCGACTGCAATTTATTTCTCAAACAACGATTGAGAGCAAGTAAACATTTTGAAACACTGAAAAACTAGTACGTAGTAATTATGTATGAAGTACAAGACTACGATTTTTCTTGTATTTTTACTTACAGCTAACAAATGTATTGACGAAGACCGTTGCAATATCACATCACAAACATTCGCGACAAGTGTGCGTCATTTAGGTACAAAGAATTCCGGAAACTCAAGGGAAAGCCTTAGGAAGTAATTCCGGCAAGTGGTTTGGTGAACAATGATTGCGGCTTATCGTTTACTCACGAGTTCCGACCACGCAGCTGACACATTATGAACATAGGGTCTGCAAAGTAAGCTGGGAAATATCTCGCATAAGATGACACACGGTATGCAGATGATTTTATTAGAATAAAAAAAGTACTGCAGGCAAATAATTTTACAGCGTTTTTTTACTACTAGAAAACTCCCTCGATTTATTGAACAATATTTTCTCAAGCATTATTTGAAAACTGAAAAATATGTCACATTCACATAATTGTATTTGTAACACTATGGCGGGTCGCCCTAATGTGCCTACTTTTCTGTTTTTCTGAATTTTATTATTTGCCTTTTTAAATATCTCAAAAGAGATCAATTTAAATTCAAAAGCTTAGATTTTCTACAACTGTTTTTTTAATTGGTTTGCAATACAATGGAAAAGGTATTCTTTTCGAGATCCCTAAATTCATATCTGGAAAGAAGACACTGCATAATCGATAAGCAATGTTCTGAGTCCCTCCCACCAACAGACAATTCACAGAATCAGCCTTGCAATGACTCACAGTTTTTCTGTTGCGAAAAAATGTCGAATTGAAATAATTATTAAAAAACAGTCAAGACCGCAGAATCTTTTCAAAAGATAATAATCTCATAATTACCAAAATTGTTGTAAACCTCCATTTACGTAACATCATCATACATAATTGATATTATTGAAGTTATTATGAACATGTATGGGTACTCTTTAACCATCGAGACCACTTGTCAGGTAGTTGCATGAACTTCCTCCCGCCGGCTGAGTCTGTAATCTTCAGGCGCGGCCACCATGGCTCCTACCACGGTTCACCTACTCCTACACCGATGTGGTCCACGGGCTCGTATTTTCAGTATCTACTTACTACCTCCTCCGCCCTCGGTGGCTCGTTGGTTAGCATGCTCGCTTTACACGGCGCAAACCCGGGTTCGATTCCAAGTCTCCCAAATATAAATCTGCACTTTCCTTACAAATGTCCCAGTATCTATTGTGCCATGATGAGAAAGCTTACATAAGCCCTAAGGTTAAGAAGATCAGTACAGTATTCGGTGGAGGGATGCCTTTGTGCTAACCACACGAACCCCTTGGCGAATCCCATGGCTGGGCCACCGCTGGTCGGCCAAGGGCTGTCGGATCAAAGGACATGCTACCTTCGCAATAGCATAGCTCGTGAGCACCTATGTGCTTGTGAGTAATTAGCCAGTGGAAGGGCCGTGGTCGCGCCCAAGTAGCGCTCCGCTGTGCTCCATTGGACCGAACTGAGCGCCACCTGATTCCGCCAGCCCCACTCCGTCACCTGCTGGCACCAGGGATTGGAGTCTTCCGAGAAGAACGTGCACAGGTCTGTAATCGACCCATACACCAGCCGGACTCGGTCAATAGGCTGGTTTATTAACGTAAATATTTTTAGTGAATAGTGTTTTAACATTTTACTAGAATGTTCTCGTTAAATGAATAAAAGTTGTATGTTTTCAATGAATCCCTATGTTTTAAAATGTTCCACAGTTTGTCTTCTTCAAGATGGTAAACCTATCGCATTCGGACATTATTTCAACACAGTTTCTGACATCTTATTAATAGACAAATTTATTTTTGTGACAATGCTTATTGTGTACATGCTTTGAAACCACCTGTGGGGGAATTATTTTTAGTTCTGAATAATGCACACTACATTATATTTCTGCAAGAGAATTACATCATATCCTTTGTAAGTCGTATGAGTAATATCTTTAATGGAAAGGAATTCCAATTTATTCTTTAAAGTGTCATAGAAAGGGCAAACATGAACTAATTCAGTAGTATACAAAGAAAAGTATTGAAAATGTTAACATTTTCCACGATTCAAGGTCTTATATTCCAGTGTTGAGTAAATAATGAATTACCGAGTTTGTTTCGGAACCTGGTGAGAACATCCACAGGATCACCAAACTTTTTTGAACCATACCAACGACGCGAAGTCTGCAAATAGAATTGTCAGCTCTTTGCATTTGACCCGGAAACCACGGCTTTTAAGTAGAATCTCCGGGCTCCAGGTTTACTCCCAATATCTCCGGGTCATTTAACTCCCGGGCGACCAATATTTTGCTATCTTCGGCCGCGAAGGCATCCGCCTTAATTCCAAAGCCCAAGATCAAAAGGGTACAAGCAGCAAATACATTTTTTTCAGCGTCCGGCTCCAAGAATTCATTTTCAAAAACAACTGTAAGACAATTTTACTTTGCTATACCATACTGAACGAAAATACATTAGTAGAAGGAAATAAAGTAACAAAAGTCATTATCGTGTAAACTTACGAGGGAAGTAATAACTGGTATCGGCTTATCATTGTACTTTATTTTCGATTTGTTAAAAAGTATTGTTGTTATGATGGAAGAACTGCTAACTATGGTAAGTCTAAAACATGACATTTGATACAGCGATAATTATTCCAAAATACAAATAAACAATAAAAATTTCTGATTTTATGAAAATTGAAGGTAAATCTACATTGAATGAGGGAAATATAAAAGGTACTGAACGTTGTTAGCTTTGACGACCCAGAAAGAGACATTCACGTTATTATGATATATAAAAAAAGTGTTTTGAACAGTCTGCTTCACTGCTATTCCACTATAAAAATATTGGGTGGTACTATAGAATATGATTCCCCAGAATTTTACCCCATATTTCAGGTGGGAATGTACTACATTTGCAAAATATACGCAGCGAGCAGTAGGAAGGCTGACTCAAGTTGAAACAATTCTGATTGCGTAACACAATGAATTTAAGTTAGTCTTCAATTCTCTTATACGGATATTCCATTTGAGATTTTCCTGAATTGACAGACCCAGAAATTTTATCATCTTCACATCTGCTAAATGCATATGGTGAATTTCAATAGCGCAAGCGATTGCCTTCCATTTATGACGTCAGCATCAAAACTGTTTTGCTGTTTCTAATGAAGGTGAGTATATCATTTCCTTTAAAAAAAAGAAGATAGGGCCCTAAGATCATAACCTGCGGGGTCCCATGCTCAACTGGCGAAGAACTGAAGGGATGAGAAAATAACGCTCTTTCGTCCAGTTCGGTATACTACTATTTTTGTGGATGTTTATGGTTCGAGGGATATCAAGTCTACCACAATACAACGAATTCTATTTCTAAGTAATTTTGAAAGCAAAAATGTTATGGTCAGTGGAGTCGAAAGTTTTCAAAAGATCTAAAAATATTCAAATGGGTGTTTAATCTTGATCCATTGATGAAACATCTTTAAGGAAAATTTTTTTGCTGCACGTGTTGTTGATGTTGTATTTGCTTTACTGGTGTAAGTTCAAATATAACTACTATATACTTGACTGAACACTTTTGAGCTTGTACTCACACCTTTCGCCTCTAGGATGCCTCATGATCAGCGTACTAGCTTCCCGTGGTGTAATCCCGGGTGCGAGGACCAATCAAGGCAAAAATAGCGTTGTAGC